CACACACACACACACACACACACACACACACACACACACACGATCACAGTGGCTCCTGACTCACCGTTTCACCAGGATGCGGATCGGGTCGGTCATGAACTTGTTGGTCATCTCCAGGATCTCGTGAGGCAGCGTAGCGCTGATCAGAACCACCTGAGTGGCCGGAGGAAGGTAACGGTACACGTCGTAGATCTGCTCCTTAAAGCCTGAACACAGGGCCAACGGTTAACCCACAACATCACCATCATGACATCACAGCTTCACGCACATGCTCAGTCTCACCTTTGTTCAGCATCTCATCAGCTTCATCCAGAACCAGCATCTTGATGGCTCTGGTCCTCAGACTCCTGCGACGAATCATATCTGTAGAAAACAAACAAAACCTCAAATTCCTATTGGGCGACTCCGTCAGAGGCCGACCAATCAGAGACCGGGGATCTAGCTACAGACTGAGGCCGGACAGGTAGTGCTGGGTGGTATACCGGTTTTAATTTCTCGTACGATATGAATTTTTCGTATACCGTCATACAGCCGTCGCACAGCCGAAACAACTTATGTCGCTCTTCAACAGGCAGCAAAATATATTGTTCACCGCTGAGAGCGCTACAGTCGGAGCTAGTTGTCTTAAGTGTATTGAGAGGGAACCCTAGTCATGGTTATAACAATTAACCACAACTAACGCTCTTTAACAGAGTAAAACACCACGACACAACAGTTCGTGACACAAACAATTTGTAACACTAATAATTGTACATTTATAAAATTTCACCGCCGAACTGCATGCTGGGTAAAGCTCGCCAACAGTCTGCTAACAGCTGGGAGAGGCTCTGTCGCTCCAGTAACGCTACATTAAAGAACAGAACAGAGCGATGCAGGATGAACAAAGACTGAACAACAAAAGGTATTTAGGTCAGACACATATGCAACGCTGATTACCGTAATATGTGTGGTATTTGTTATAAATGTACGTTGTTACATAGACGGTGATAAGAAGCTGTACATGGAGGGGCTTAGGACCCAGGGGAATGTAGGTGAAGGAAACAGGAAGAGACGGAACGGAAGACACGCCACACAAACAGCTGTTCACCGCTCGCTGGCCGGTTAATTAATGAATGCTTTAAGGCGGAAAAAGAAATATGGTGATATACCGCGAAACTGCCAGAATCTTACAAAATACAGTGATATGCATTTTTGGTCATACCGCCCAGCCCTAGTACACAGTACCACAGACAGACAAGAGGCCGGACAGGGACCACAGACAGACAAGGACCACAGACAGAGGACAGACAGACAGGGAAGTTGTAAACATTCCAAGTGTATGGCAGTGGATTTGAAAGACAAAGCAGTTCAGTTAAACCTTCCTAGACTAGCAGGTCTTGGTGCGAGACTCACCAAACACCCGTCCAGGTGTCCCCGACACCACGTGCTGACCGTAGTCCAGCTTCCTGATGTCCTCACCCACGTTGGTCCCTCCGATGCAGGCGTGACACTGGACGTTCATGTAGTCTCCCAGAGCCAGCAGCACCTGAACACAACACCATAGAGAGAGACAGAGACAATCAGAAACCAAGGACAGCCCAGTGCTCACAGATGATTGGCTGGGTGTGACCGTGTGGGCGGGGCTACCTTCTGAATCTGCCCGGCCAGCTCTCTTGTTGGAGCAAGGATCAGAGCCTGGGTCTCCCTCACCTGCAGCGTCAAACATAAACATTAATATACATATAATAGACATATATATAGAATCCTCAGGATGGACCCAAAGACAAACTTGAACCCTGACCTGGATGTCCAGACACTGCAGCACAGACACACAGAAGGTGGCTGTCTTTCCTGTTCCAGACTGAGACCTGAACAGATCAGAGCAACCGTTAGAGAACACCTAGACAACATTGTTAATCACTGAGGGGTCCCTACAGATCCCCACTGGTCCCACAGATCCCTACAAGTCTTACTGGGCGATGACGTCCCGGCCCTTGATGATCTGTTTGATGGCTCTCTGCTGGATCGCTGACGGCTTCTCGAAACCTGAAACACAAAAAATGAAACCTCTGGTCACAACATCTGGACTCAGAAACCAGCAGAGGGACCTGGTTCACATGAGTCCACAAAACATACCAACTCTAATAAACCAGGACTTCCGGTTTACTGCGGGACGTAAACTTAGCATGAAAGCTAATGCTAACCAAAGCTAACAGTTGAATTATAAAATCCCTAATAACAGTCTAAAGTAAACGATACACAGCTGGAGCTTCGATAAATTAAGAGAAGAATATACGTAGAATTAACTTCTATTACGTTTAATTAACACTCTTTAGAAACATCACGGAGATAAATAGTTAGCTTTAGCATCCTGAGCTAACCCTCTCTTCCAGGAGGCCCGAGTGGATCCCCGGCCTACCGTAAGCGTAGATGCCGCGGAGCAGGTCCTCCCGGAGGCCCATGGTGTCGAAGGTGGGGGTGACGTCCACCTCCTCGCTGGTCTCGAACTCCACCTTGGTCATGTCCTCGTCCCGCATGATCCTCTTCCTGGCCTGTAGTCCGGTAGCGGCCATCTTTACTGTGAGATATCTGTATTATTCCGTTAAAACTCGTTCTCCGCTGAAGCTGCACTGCTAACTGCTAATACACGGGGAAGAAAAGACCGCGGCACGTGTCGCGCTGATGACGTGAGAGTGTGCGCGACGCGGTCTTTACTTCGTGTTTCAGGGTAAACACCGCCACCTAGAGGTCAGGAGTGTCTCTGCACCTGGAGGTTTTATTTAAATGGTACAGAGTAATCTAGTATTCTTATCTTCAGAGTAATCTAGTATCCTTATATTCAGAGTAATCTAGTATCCTTATATTCAGAGTAATCTAGTATCCTTATATTCAGAGTAATCTAGTATTCTTGCATTCAGAATAATCTAGTATTCCTGTATTCAGAGTAATCTAGTATTCCTGTATTCAGAGTAATCTAGTATTCCTGTATTCAGAGTAATCAAGTATTCCTGTATTCTAGTATTCTTATATTCAGAGTAATCTAGTATTCTTGTATTCAGAGTAATCTAGTCTTCTCAGTGGCGGGCCGTGCATGTTATACCTGGGCCTTCACTGCTGTCCTGCAGCTGAAACACAGCTACGGTTATTATTCGTTTCGTGTAAAAATGAAGCAAACACCTATCTGCAGAGAATATGCCGGGAGTGCGTCTCCTCTCTGCTCTGACTGCAGCGCGAGTTACCGCCTGTGAGCTTTGGGGCGGCGGAGCGGCTCACGGCAGCACCCACTGCTCATTCAAGACAGTAACTGTAGAACGTACGTCCTTTAACGGCACAAAATTCTCCAACAGCACCAGAACAAGTCTCTAGATTTGTCACTAGTAGCTTTTGACAAAAAAAGTCGCCATGAGGGTTTAGAAAGTACCCAGATTTAGTGAGAAAGTCGCCAAGTTGGCAACACTGGCACCTGCTAAATATGTCCCCAGAGCAACACTGGACATAACAATGGTT